ATCCTTTGATTTTCCCCCTCCAGAGCCCTGAAAACCTCCCTTTAATTTGTCTCTCCTACCAGCTTTACACCTGCAAAACACCACTGGTTTCAGTGGAGTGACTCCTAATTTACCCCACTGCAAATGAGAGGAGAATTGTTCCTGGGGTCTCTAAGTCTATAGAGAAAGCTCCTAGCATGGCAGTGCCAATTACGAATAAACTGTCCCTTTCACTTTTTCTTCACTTCCCTTCCCCACTTGCCATCCTCCTTTCTTAAGAGCATATTTATTTTGTTAACAAATAATAAGTTCCCTGAATGATATTGTTTATATTGTTAATGTAGTTGGGTCCATTACACTTAAGTAGCTGCCTTAGAACATGTTACAGTTTGGGGCTATGTTAGGGGTATAGGAAAGGATTGGGAAGAACATGAGTTCCTTCTGGGCAATTTGGTTTGTGGTTTATATGCATGCTGCATCTGTAACAATGCTTTGATATTCTTACCTTTCAATACAAAGACCTATGTCTTAAATGTAGGCTTCAACTCTGACAGAATCCATGCAATTTATACTTTTTTCAAGCTGGGTATTTTGATTATATGAAAGGTGAAGGGGCTTTGTTGGTGACCCCTGTGCCAGAGCTGGGATAAGTGATGCCCTAATAATGGATAGGGGTGTGCAAAAGCCACAGCATTTGTACAGCAGTGGATATAATGGTCCATCTTTCCCGTGAGAACCCTTTTGACATTTCCTTCGGCACCACACACAGATGAAGAGTCATGACTACATCTAGGTGGACCAGAACAAATTTAGCCAGATGGGGAAGAAGCACTATTGGGTTGCTAGGGTATGAAGAGGGTTGTCTATTCCAGCTGCTATAAGCAGTCTTGCGGACAGGGACCAGAACCCAGGACACCTGTGTCATTGGGCTACAGTCACATTCTGGAAAGAGAGAGGCGGTGTACTACAGACAGTGTTGCCCCCCCCCCGAGTAACTTGTCAGGAGTAAGGATCAAACCTATGGATCTTTAAAGCATGCGCTTCTAGTGCCTTGGTTATGCCAGGAGCATATGCCTTTGTCATGGGGAAGTCAGAGAGTCCACTTGAATCAAGAGTGTTCATAATCCATCAGCTGCCACTGACAACACCTGTCCCATTCCTACTGACACCACCTTTTCCACACTTCTACTTCAACATACTCCACTCCCTAGACTTCCTGCTCCAGCGGTCCAGCTACCTCCTGAGCACCTTGTTCTCCCAGCATCTTCCAGTTCTACTGCCAGTCAATATCTTACCTCATTCAACACCTTGTCCATGTTGCCCTTTCACCCTTTTTTTATTCTGGCTAATGAAGCAGACATAAGAAATATTAACCCTTTCCACTTCCTGAGACAACTCCCTGTTGCATCCCAGCCCATCATGGGCACATCTATTTTAGATCTTTCTCTGGGCCTCAACTCTGTGGCAGAATTAAGACATTGTAAAGTAGACAATGGTTGTGTACTTGGTTACAGGCCACAGGTTATGGTGGGAACCCTGTTTAGAAAAGAGGAACAATACTAACCATTGAGACTTCACCATGAAAATGACCAACAACCCCCCACTTACGAAATACCTTTGTTTTAAAAGCAACACACCATGGTGTTAAGATACAATTGATGACTTGACTGGCAATAGAAAAGGAGATGACATCCAAACACAAGAACTGGGGCTCTCCAGGAAGAGAGAACATATTTCTCCACTTGTTGAGGAGTGAGGAAAGCTTCCACCTAGGAAAGAATGAGCATCGCATGCACCATCCTCATCAAATGGTGAGAGGAGAGATTGTAAGGCTGGTATCCCAAGGCAGAAGGGACAGGAAACCCAAGACCACTCTCTGACACTTTCTGCCACATTCAAGTCAATCCCAAAGAAGGTGACCCTAATAGGTATCATCATGGGACTACATAAAATGCTTTATATATCCTTATAATGCCTCTCCCATGTATTATAAAAGTCAAATAGCAACTCTGCTGAATCTGTACCAGAGGTAGGACTTGCTCAACTGGTCACTGTCTGAGGAAGATGAGACATTTTTGGGCATTGCAAATGCAGTCTGCATCTCCAAAAGGGGCCAGTCAGTGTCCCTGTGACAGCAACTCTCCTCACAACACCCCTGCCCATCTTCTCCTTCCACACCACAGACATGCGAGTATGTGAGGTCTGACAGATAATCCAAGCCATCTTTTGCATCTGTGCTAAATTTGCCAAATGGAATCCAGGTTGGAAGTTGTCTCAGGGTTTGCTATCCATCATGACATGGGGGAGTAAGAGTATATATTGTTTATTGTGAGATATGACACAACACCTATCTGTCAGTCACTTCATCTTTCTAGCTATCTAGTCTCTCTGTCTAATCTACTTTAGCTAGCTTTCTACCTATTTTATCTATCCCTACCTAACCTATTTATCTATCAGTCATCTATTGCTCCATAGTATTTAATTTCTCCCTATCTCTTTCTCTCTCCCTCTCCTCCTAGCTAATCTTTCTTTCTGTAGCTCAGTCTCTGTCTGTCTAAACCCTCTGTGCTATCTATTGTCTCTAAAACCCTTTTCAAATTTCTTTCTCTCATCTAATCCCTGTTTTTAAAATCTGGTGGAGTTTTGTGTTCAGTCACTCTGTTTTCTGCCCCCCCCAACATATACACTTCCTTTTTTTTCTTTCCCCCTTCTTTCTCTCTCTCTCTCTCTCAGTACTGTAAATGACAATGTAGGAAATAGATTCAAATTCAACATTAAATGAAACCAGCTGAATTTTGATGGCATTTCCAGTGAACCATCTGAGGTCCAGATTGATGTCTCTGAAGAGACATCATGCATCTTCTTGCTCCTGCTGTTTGACAGAAGGAGAAGAAAAATGAAGAGAAGGTGGGAAGGCCAGCCATTCCTCTGAAGGCATAGCTTCTGGCTTACCATCAGTCAGCCAGAGGGAATTGCATGGTGGGTAGCAGAGTATCCAAACTCAGATGTAGCCTCTCATTCCATGTTACAACTGTGAGGACAGTTATTCCATCTCCTGTCAAGAATAATATCACACAATAGCACAACAGGGCACCACAGTTATTTTTTTTCATTATTACTAGAAGCCACCACAAGAGCTGGGGGAGAGCATGTGACAAAAATCAGGGCATGGAAAATGCACCATTCTGAGGATTTATTATAGTCTTAAGAGAGCAGTTACAGAAGGGCTTTAAGAAAGACTTTCCGGTAATGCAGTTAAACCGTTCAGTCTCACAGCTAATAAAGAGAACAGCAGACCCTGACAGTCATGCTGCCTGGGGGCTGGGAGCCTGTCAGAGCTCATCCATTGAGAAAGGCTGGTTTGAGTGAATGTGCTAATGGTAATCTCCAGGAAAAACTAGGCCACTGATGGAAGTGGCACCAGTGGCTGAACATTTGATGCTCTTCCCTCTGGATCAGTGCTGAGTCAGTCTCTGTAGCTGGATGCTAGAGGCCACTCAGCTCCTGGAACTGCCCTCTCATAGATGAGACTAAACCCTAGGCCCTAATGAGAGCTGGGTGAATAATGTATTTATATACATAATGTCAAAGAATCCCTTATTTGAAGAAAAAATATATAGAGCTCCATGGTTCTCAGGAACACTACTTTTATTTCACTCATGCAAATCTTGGTTAGGTGGGGGGGAGGTCTGTTCTGTTTAGCTAACCTATCTGTCCAGCTCATTCGGCCAAGTATATTGTTTCCAAAAGCCAAGGAGCCTTGTACAGCCAGGACTCTACTATAATTATTTCCATACTCTTAGGAAAAGCCAGTGGCGCTCCAATCCTGTTCCCTCTGGTACTCTGTTAACCAGGCTATGAAACAAAGAGAGTTGTCCTCACCTCCCTCCTCACAGCACAGCTGTCAGCCAGCTGCAGAGTGCAAAGAAGCAGCAGCATCCCCAGGGCATGGGAGAGAGAGCAGTTACTGTAAGTGCTCCCCACTCACATCTTGGGGCTGCAGAAGCAGCAGGAGGCAGTAGCTGGTTCGGGGGTGTCTCATCTGCCTATTATATGGGCCCTGATGGAAATACTTGGTGTCAAAACCAGAGCACCTTACTCAGGGAACATGTTTGTAATTAGTAATCAGGCCCATGTTTTCTGAATGCTATCTCCTCTGAGGCCTGCAATTTGGAGTCAAGAAGGGCACAGGTTGGACCTCACTGATCTATTCCAGCTTCTTACCCTGAGATATTAAGCAGCTCTCTGAGATGGGCCCTCAGGTTCTCATAATGGATTGGTTTTCTGCAGGCATCAGAGTGCTAAGTCTGGTGCCCAAGCCAAAATCCAACCAAATGACAACCTGCTAATCTATTTTCATTTACACATTGGAATTAAGATAAAGGCATTGTTCTACCTGGTATTCAGCTTAGTCTATATCTGCTTGATTCCAGACCTGAGGAAGGGCATTTTGTACCCAAAAGCTTGTCTAACATCTCCCCCAAACATAGAGTTGATCCAATAAAAGGCATCAGCAAACAACTCTTCCTTCTTCCATACTCCGTGGACCAGCATGGCTACCACAACACTATGACCCTGCTACAATCCCCTCAACAGTTCCAGATGAAGAAGTCCATCTCCAATTTCTTGTTATATACTGTTAGTTGGAAAAGACAAGGTGCCACCTTACAGAAGGCCCACTAAAACAGGGGCCCCTGCATGTGCTCCATATAAATTAAGACAGCATAGAAATGCGACACAGTGGTATCATGATCATTATTTTAATTTATTATCATCATTATTAATGATTATTATTATTCAGTTTGAAAAAGGAGCCTGGAGCCACGCATTACGCTAATTGGCACATTTTTGCTTTATTCTTTGAAAACAAACTGGGGTTTAATTCTCACTCATTTGTTTGTTGGCCATTTTCTTTTGTTCATTCCATCACATTGAAAAAGGAAGAGGAGGAAAAAAGGTGGTTGGTTGTTTTTTTGTTTTTTTTTTCTTTTTCTTTTTCATTTCACTTTGTTTTTTTAAACTCACTTGAGATAAGGTTTGGACTCCTCAGATGAACAGAACATTGCACACACACACTTGGAACAGAGAGAGAGAGAGAGAGAGAAAGAAAGTGGGGAGAGAGGAAAGAAGAGAGAAAGGAAGGAGGGGGGCGGAGAGAGAGAGAGAGAGCGAGAGAGAGAGAGAGTGAGAGACAGAGCACTCGCGGTGGGCAGACAAACACACGCACGCGCCAGATCAAAGAACTCTGATACAGTGCAAGAATTTTCCCAAAATGATTGGATCATCATTACCAAAAAACTCGCCATAACAACACCAAGAAACAAAGAAATGTTTAAGCCACACTGTTTGACTGGGATTTTTCCTGCTTTTTTTTTTCCTTTAAATGTTTGCCACACAGAGAGAAAAAGGGTTTGAGAGGGTATGGGGGTGGGGGGACAGACAGGCTCACAGGTGTGAGCAGGAAGGGGAGCAAGATTAAAGGAGC